AATCATTTGTTGCTAGAATATAGAAATGTAACTAATGTAGGTGTATTGATCTCTAACTCTCAAACTTGATAAATTCCTTTATTAGTTCTAGAACAATTTTTAGATTGTATATGATTTTCTAAGTCATTTGAAAATACGGTTTTACTTCTTTGATTCCCATCTAGATGCTTTTTCTTTTCTTTTCCTTCCTACAATGACTAAACATGTCCATGAAATTCTGAATACGCATGGTCAGAGAAGACAGCCTTGCCTTCTTTCTGATCTTAGGGAGGAAGCATTCAGTCTTCCACCATTAAGTACATTAGCTGTAGGTTTCATAGATGCCCTTTGTCATATGGACAAAGTTCCCTTATATTCAACTTTCTGGGAGCTTTCATTAAAGATCAATGTGTTGACTTTTGTGGAATGCTTTTTCTAAATCTACTTGGATATTTGCATAATTATCCCTTTTTAGCCTGCCAATATGGTGACTCACACTGACTGATTTTCAAATATTAAACCAACTTTGCTTGTCTGGTCATGTGATAAATTATCTTTTTTTTTAGAATTGTATTCAATTTGCTAAAATTTTGTTAAGAATTTTTTGCATTTATGTTCATTTGGGATATTGGGCTATTATTTTGTTTTCTTGTAATGTCTTGGTTTTTGTTGGCCTAGTAGAAAGTGTTGGGCAGTATTTCCTCTTCTATTATTTGGACCAGATTGTGTAAATTGGTATTATTTTTTCCTAAAATGTTTAGTTGAATTTCTTATGAAGCTAGTAAAACTGTCTGCACCTGGAGTTTTCCTTGTGGGAAAGATTTAATTGAAAAATTAATTTCTTTTCTTCATCATAGACATTGGTAGTTTGTGCCCTTTAGGGAATTGATCCTTTTCATCTAAGTTGACACATTTACTGGCACATACTTGTTCAAAACATTCAGTTATTATGCCCTTAGTAACTCTGTGATTATCACCTTTCTCCTTCCTGATACTAATAATTTGTGTCCTTTGTCTTTGCTTCCTGGACTGTGTGGTGAGAGGTTTATTAAGTATTTTTTAATCTTTTTTTCCAACAGCTTTTGGTTTCAGAGGTTTTCTCTATTTTCCTGATTTCTATTTCATTGATTTCCACTCTAACTCTTATTATTCCCTCTCCTCTCTTCATTTTGAGCTTGATTTGCTTTTCTTACTCTAGTTCCTTAAAATGGAATCTAAGGTCATTGATTTGGTATCTTTTTTCTTTTCTTATACAGGCATTCACATAAATTGCCCTCTGAGAGCTCCTTTAGCTGTCTCCCATATTCATTTTCATCCAGTTCAAAATGCTTGCTAATTTTTATTTTGGTGTGTTCCTTGATCCATGAGTTAGAAATGTGTGGTTCCATGTCCAAATACATGAGGGTTTTCCAGAAAGCTTTCTGCCATTGATTTCTAATTTAACTCCATTATAATAGAGGACATATTTTATATGAATTATTTTAACTATATTGAGACTTGTTTTATAACAAGAATATAGTCAATTAGTTTAATATGCTGTGTACTTGTAATGAATATGTCTTATGCTGTTGTTGGCTGCATTAATCTAAAGTATTAATTAATTGGTTGACTCTGTTATTCTAATCTTCTCTACTCTAACAGAATTATTATTACTCGTTCTGTTAATCATTGAAACAATATTGTTTTTGTTGACTACAGTTGTATATTTTTCTCTTTCTCCTTGAAGTTCTGTCAGCTGTCTCTTCGTGTATTTGGAAGTTGTATTATGAAGTGAACAAACGTATAGGGTTATGTCTTCATGATGGGTTAACCCCTTAATCATTATGAAATGATTCTCTTTATCCTTGATGATAAAACCAAAGTCTACTTTTTTTGATGATAATATAGCCATTCAAGCTTTTTTTGGATTGGTATTGTCATTGCATAAATGAATTCCATGCATTTACTTTTAACCTATTTTTGTCCTCATACTTAAAGTGGGTTTTTATACATTATCATATAGATGGATCTTGCTTTTTTATCTAATCTGACATCTGATTTTTTTTTTTATCCTCACATGCTTATTAGAGGGAAAGGACCAGAGAGTGGGGGGAAGAGAAACATCAATGTGAGAAAGAAATATCAATCCGTCACCTCTCATACATGCTCTGACCAGGACTGAACCCACAACCCAGGCATGTGCCCTGACCTGGAATCAAACCTGTGATCTTTAGTTTTACAAGATGAAGCTCCAACCAACTGAGCCACACCAGCCGGATTTGACATCTGACTTTTAAATGGGGTGTTTAGATTACTTATATGTAATGTGATTATTGATACAGTTGGGTTGAAACCTACCATCTTGTTATTTATTTTCTCTTTGTCCTATCTGTTGTTTGTTTGCCTTTCCTTCTTTATCTGTCTTCTTTTGGATTAAATATTTTTTATGATTTTACTTCATCCACATTCTTTATTTGTTACCATATCTCTTTGTTATGTTATATTAGTGGTTGCTTTAGAGTCTATCATATACATCTTTAACTTACTAGTCTATTTTCAGTTGATGTCATAACATTTGACAAATATAGCATCTTTCTTCCATTTCTCTAAATAGTATTTATATTATCACCCTCATATATTTTACTTTCACATGTTTTTATCTCTATATTATTTTTTGCTTTAAACAATTAATTATATTTTAAAGAGAAATAATAAGAATTAAGGTCTTTCTACCACCTATGTAGTTACTATTCCAAGTGCTCTTCATTTCCATTTGGTACCATTTTTCTTCTACCTTGAAGGATTTCTTTTAATATCATTTGTGGTGCAGGTCTGCTGAAAATGCTTTTTTTTTTTTTTTTTAGCTTGTGAACATTTGAAATATTGGGAAGGACAGGTTTTAAAAATATTTAAAGATGTTCTTCCACTGTCTTCTCACTGGTATTACTGCCAACAAGAAATCTCTTGATCTTAACTTTGTTTTTCCTGTATATAATGTCTTTTCCCTTTGTAAGCCTTTAAGATTTTTCTCTTTATCAGCGCTTACAGGCAACTCTACTAAGGTATTTCTTAATTTCATTTATTCATGTTTGTTGTGCTTAGAATTTGTTGAGCTTCTTAAATCTGTGGGTTATAGTTCTCATAAAATTGGAAATGCTTCAGATAGCATTTCTTCCAATATTTTTCTATTTCCTGCTTCTTCCTTTCAGAGACCCTAATTACTCAGAGTTAGGCCATATAAATTTTCTCATGTATCACTGATGCTCTGTTCATTTTTTGTTTCAATTTTTTTCTCTCTGGCGTTCATTGTGAATAGTTTCTATTATTTTCTCCACAAGTTCATTAATGTTTTCTTCCACACTATCTAACCTGACATTAGTCATATATTTTTCATTTCCCATATTTCCATTTTCATCTCTAGAAATTTGACTTGAGACTTTCATCTCTTCCATATCTCTACTTAATACATTTAATCTTTTCTCTATCTTCTTAAATATATGGAATACAGTTATAACAACTGTTTTAATATCCTGTTTGTTCATTCCATAATCTATCTAATTTCTGGGTCGGTTAAAATTGATTGATTTTTCTCTTTGTTATAACCACAGACTAAATGCGCCAAAGCATCTGTGGCTCCATGTTTCAAGGTTTGGCCTTGTCATTATCATTACAGGTTGATTTTTGATATGTCTCCCATTTATAGCACTGATTTTGCTCCAGAAATCTTGTTACCCACTCTACATACAGCACTCTACATACATCAAACTGGGACTTGTTTGGGGTTTATCCTTCTTTGGAAACTGTGTGTTTAGGGCGCTTCTAGCACTGGCTCGTTTGCATGCTGCCAAGCTAATGCCTCCCTTTCCCTTCCACCTGTGTTTCCCAATTAAGGTACTCTACAAATCCACTGAGATATCTGCTACTATACTCAACACTCACTGGCAATTGTCTGACTAGACTTTGACATACAGGCAGTGTAGTATTGTTGCTAAGAGTAAATTATAGATCCTGACTGTTTGGATTTGCATTCCTGCCCAACCACTTAGTAGATATGACCTCAAGTGAATGATGACTTCTCTATGTCTCAGTTTCCTGAACTGCGAAGATAGTAATAACACATACCTTATCGGGTTGTTGTGAGGATTAAATGTGAAAATATAATATAAACAAATTAGATTAGTGTTGGGCTCAGCACTTAATTTTTGTTAGAGTAAGAGGAATAGCCAGAATTTATACATGTGAATCTGACTCTGTAGATCACATTATTAATCATTATGTGATGTTCTAATACTTGTTGGACAACTCATATTGCATATTAGAGAAAATTCCCCTTCTATATTAGCTCTGTGCTAGTTTCTCTGGTGTTTAAACATCCTAGTTCTGGTTTCACCCCTAAGCACAAAATAACTGCCTATCCATCCAGAAGTAGTTAGGGAATAATGTGCAAAGTCCTGAAGTGCAACAGGACTTATTTTTGTCAACACAGGTGAAATCAGAAGATAAATAAGCAAGAAAAACAGAAGCACCTAGGGAACAATATTTCCAAACTGTTGAGTATCAATCCATTTTCTTCCTTCTAGCTAAATTGTTTTTATTTTATTTTTTAATTTTAATTTTATAATCCAAAGTCAGAAACAAGCCATAGTTTGTCTCCTTGATTTTTCTTTCATAGTTCAATATTTTATATTTAGAAGATAAAGGTTAGTAATACACACAGAACATTACATTTTTAATGAGCAATCAAAATAAATATATAGAAATTAGTTTTGATAATTATAGAGGAAAGCCGCAGCTTGTCTGCAATATAGGTGCTTGGTAAGGCCAACATTTCATTTTTTTAAATATCTAAGAAATACTACCAAACTAAGTGGGTTAACTTTTCAAGCTTATTTTAGATTAGAAAAGTTAATATTGATTTTATGGACACAAATTTAAACACCCAATGAATACTCACTCTACGCCAGGAGGCATTATGATGTGGCTGCTCAGAAATCTTGAAATTAACATTTATTGTTTTGAGTTAAGTAACTTACAAGCATTACCTTTTCTGTAGGATTAATTTATATCCTTCTAGTGCCGGTCCCTCAGTGGCCTTGATGCTGATTGGATGACCAATAGCGAGACAGCCCTGCGTCACTGCGCGGCTCAGGATCATTCCAGCCTTCCAGTGAATAGAGAGGGGAGAAAGGTCTCAGTAAGTTAAAAGAACCAGAAAATTCAACAATGTGTCACAAATAAGTGAGGTCATTATGCCTGGATAACCCCGGATATTAACAGTTGCCGAAAGTGAAACACTACCCACAACTTAGCAGTCGGTGAGCCGTGCTCAGAATCAGCGATCTTCCCTGTCCAACAAGGGTGGCATTTTATAGTTCAGCGCAAAATAAAACAGACCTTGATATCTTCATTTGTCCTTTTTTTCTGTGCATATTTCACAGTGCAGCGATTTGGGGTCCATCACATGTCACTTGTTATTGTTGTAACTACAGAGCTTACTAGAAATATGTATGCACAGGGGAAAAAACGTGCAGTAAACTGAAAAGATTGGAACAGATCCTTTACCTTCGTACCAATTTAAAGTTTTACTCTAGGTCTAAATACCATGGATATTATTATTAAATCAGTAACAAAATACAACTTTAAAAGGGCTAGTAGAGCCACCAGGTTGAAAGTAGGTTTAAGAAATAGCTCATGTAACTTCATTCTGTCTTATAACATAAATGTTTCTTAGTACCTTTATGCCTTAATTACTCTGCATGTTTGTTTTCAACTCTATCAAGAATCTAAAAATAATAATGAAGGGTAATTTAAATTTTCATTTGAGAAAATAGTTTCAACCTCCTCTCCTCACACCCCAAACTAAGTAGCAGTACACTTGCCTGCATTACTTTGCACCCACAGAAGTACTGAGAAGAAGAAAAAATAGTCTATAGAAAGGAGACTAAGGGGAACGCAGGAAGGATGGATACAAGCTGCCCCACCTCTTTCCAGTTATAAATATTTGGGGATAAATACGAAACATATTTCAACAGTAAGGGGGAAGGAGAGGACAACCATATGTTCTTGATTTAAATCATATCCAAATTAAAATAATAAAGTAAAAAATTAAATAGCGCCAATACACAGGTATAAATGTGTTAGGCATTGTTCACATAATCATTAGATGGTGCTAATCCACCAGGCTCCATGAAGCACAACAGTGAAAGCTAAGAGTGGAAGCAAATGACATTCAGAGAAATCCCATGAAAATGATGAGTCTGTGGACTATCTAGAAGCTCCAGGCTGGGTTTAAAGATATTCTAGAGTATGAACTAATCAGCACATCTAAAAGTGAACTGAATGCTCACATGAGGAACTACAGAATTCCTCTGCACTAGACAAACTAAGTGCATAGAAGTAGCATTTGTAATGGCCAACAATTTATCAAGCTTTCACTTGCATGCTTGTGAGCGTGAGGACTGGGTACTGGAGCACGTGGTGAGCTGGTGAGCGTGGAAAGGCACTCAGGGAGAGCAGACACTCTTGGGTACCTTCGTGATCAGCCACACACTGGCTGCAGGCCACAGTGTTGATGGCACCATCTGACATCCGCTGCTCACTTCACTACTTGAGTAACTGCTCTTTGCAATGGAAACCGAGGCATGAAGGACAATATTGGGATCCACCTGTACCATGAGAACCAGTACGTGTTTTTAAAGTATAGTTTGCAAGTCAACTTTCCTCAATGCACTTACCCAAAATAAGCTATCCTAGAATATTATGTGTTTGATTGAGAAGGGCTCTTTTGAAAGAGTAGTGCTCAATCCCATTTGATTCAATTCAACTAATAGTTGTTGAGTACTGGTTCTGATATGCAAGACCTTTGTGTGATACGAGATATAAAATGTAGGGTAGAGTAAAAAGTAGGTTTACAGTTGTTTGTATGGAAAATAATACAATAATAAATAACAATACAAGAATAAACTGTTTTGTTTACTAACAACGGTAAACCTACTTTTGCCTTACCCTTTATTTTTCCTGCCCTAAGGAAACAATAGTAGAGGCAATAATACACACACACACACACACACACACACACATATGCACATGCACACACAATATTTCATGTTAATCTCCATCTGATTAAATAGTCCTGTAGGTATTCAAAGAACGGTAGGCTCTTTTCTGCTAGAGCAACAAAAGGTAGAGTATCTTGAAAAAAGTAACATTTGGACCAGGCAGGAGGGACCGGGTTATAGCAAATTTTAGTAATGTGGCGCTGGCAAGGGTAGACGTAATGGATCGCAGAATGGAGACGTCAAAAGCAAGAAGAACAGTTGGGAGTCCATACAATCTCCTAAGAATAAAGGGTATGACGCAAGACTTTAGTGATAGTTGTATGAATGCACAGGAGGGGACCAAATGAGGAGACACTGTACCTGTGTTTGTTATCAGATTACATATGTCAAAGGTATCATGTATCTTCTACCATTTCTCACTTAAGTTTGATTGTCAAATTGACAGGCATTCACATCACCTGTAGGAATTCTATTAGTTCAAATGTAATATTTTATCTCCCAACTTAGGTGATCACTTTCTCTGAGTAATCATGGTAAGTTTGTATGTACCAATATTAATTTGTACAGGATTATGGGGCCATGACTATTTCTGTTTTAAACCCAATAGACGATGTTGCTTCAGTAACAATTTAAACTTAGAAAATAAATTATTTTCTAATACTAAAAAGTCTATTCTAAAATGGTGCTAATGCTAGATATGTTTTGGGTAGAAAATCATTTTTAAAGTACAAAAATTAAATGATAATTTAAAGGATAATATTTTTAAAATGTGATCAGGCAATAATGAAAGGGTACAACCAATATATTTGGTAATTATTCTATAATGAAAGATAATTATTTCTCAAAACAAGAAAATTTCATTTGACCTCTGTATGTAAAAATAAAGTTTTAAAAATACAGCAACTCCACCACATAAGCAGATTTGACTTACAGCTCTTTGATTGCATGTTCCCCAGTAAGCCAGTTGCGGCTGGATTCTGGAGGGGAATCCCCCACAGTTTCTGAACAATGATAAATCATATTCTACTAATCCACCCGCCACAGGACTTAGCATTTAAAGTAACACTCTAACTCAACCTCCTAACTTCAAGTTGCCATCACACTCAAAACTCTCCTCTGCAACTGAGAAGAAGATTGTTTTGACTGGGATTAGTCAGACAGAAGAAACATACTGCCAACTGCTTCTTTGTACAGCACCTGCTGCCAGCGCCTAAATTCTTGTTATCTCCACAACATGGTTTAATCTTTTAACAGTTGGCTTATTGGTGAAGAGCGAAGGGGTCCTTTGTGTCTGTCTTGGGTTGGCACCCAATATTAACCCCATGCTGTTCTCTGAAAGATATTTTGCTGGACGGTTCCCAAGTGATTCCACATAGACCAGACACAGCCAGGACCACTACCCAGCTTCATTTCGTGTTACAGAAAAAAACACTCCTGCCAAGACCGAGGTTCTGGTACACTTAAAACTGACAACGGTCATTAAATTTCCCTTTGTGACTTCACCTTCCATTTCTTTTTAATACAATCCAATAGCGTAGCTTTAGACCAAATGTTTAAGAAGGTTGGGAAAATTTTTAAAACTGTGGAAATTGGAATTCAGAAAAACAAAAGTGTTCTGACAAACTGCAACATAGTATGCTCTGTGTGTGTGTAGCTGTGTGCATGTGCACAAATGTGCATGCATGTTTGGCTGTGTGTATAAAAGCCTTTATGTTGAGATTGGTTTCTAAATACATGCCATCATATATGTCATTAGAAAATCTTTTTTAAGTCCTGTTGAGAATCAATCAGGAAATTCTCTTTTTTTCTTTTGAATACCTATATACAGGGTCTGGCAGAAGTAATGCTTACTTGAGTGTGGTTGGTAGGGTAATAATATAGGTGTAATAGTTTATAGTTTGAATTTGAAAATTTCACCTAAAATGTTATACGGTGTGCTTGAGTGGGATATTGTTATGTTAGAGAATTACATGCTTATGATTTTGTAATAAAAAGGGGCATTATTTGTGCCAGGCCCTGTACATAGCTTCTTTAAATGACCACTATGATACTGCTGGTCTGAATAAACTGTGCTGATATAGAAGCTGCCAGGGATACAAATGATGCATGCACATGCTGCGCCAAGTGAAACTTCTTGCTTAATTTTCTGTTTCCAAATCACTAATGGAAGTGGAGTCGCCTTCGGTATTCCCGTGCAGACTCAAAACCATGAGGGAACCACTTGTCATTTCTTACAGATCTACTCAGGAACAAAATACAAAGCAATACATTTTTTCTTTAAAGAAGAAGCTCATATATCAATCACAACCTTCATTCTAAACAAGTTGCTTACTACATAGAAATTTTATAAAATTTTATACTTTTGATTGATAAGAGAATTTAGAGCCAAATTAAATAATTTGATACGTAAATTAAAATCACAACTATAATAAATGTTCTAAAATCTCTTTCCTTCTGCCTCTGATTTTCACTCTCTTTGCTTCTATTCTCTGATCTATAGCTGATCAATCCACACTCCTCTAAGGACAAAAAATGAAAAAGTTTGAAAGCAGAATATATCAGTGAGCACATAATTATGCACCCAAGTAAGCCAACTTCCAAATCTAGGTAAGCAGCCCTTAAATAGCTTCCATGGTCTAAAAATATGGGAGGGACCTGGGATTTTGTTTAAAGTCCTGTATCCTATTCTAATGGCAATGAGTTCAAAATGTAAATTAAAATTTTGTATTTTCTACAATATAAGTTATTTGGAGAAAATATTATTCCTCAACAACTTACTTTCCAAAGAAATAGGACAGTAAAGAATTGTTTGCCTTTTCCCAGCCTCCTTTGTGACTGACATACAGAATAATATATGCTGCTAGCATCTGTGACTGCGGAAGTTACAAGGTAACTTGTAACAAGTATGCCACCACTCTAAAATTATAACTTGGTATTTTTCTTGCTTTTTCCATACTGAAATTTGCCTTTAATGTTCTGATGAAATCTGATCACACACCAAAAGGCTAGAATCAAAATAAGTTTCCTTTTCATTTTGGTAAAATATATAACCTGCCAAACACTGGAGAGTCTATTTTTCTGCTATATTTTCCCATAACCAGTCACCCCTCAAGCTATTCTTCTCATGATTTTTTTTCTTTTATATTAACTACCATGGAGTTTAAATCTCATCCATTTTGTGGAATCATATAATTATATGGCCTTTAACGTGGGGCAATCTAAAAATGCCGCCAATTTAAGTAACAATAGAGAACTGTTGAAAGATGTATTTGCCAAGTTGGCCATTGTAGTAGATTCCAAATCTTTTTCTGAAATGGATAAAAGAGCAACAGGTTGTAATTGTCAGGGTTATAGCTGTCTCCCACATTACTAATAGGGATTACATGTTCCAAATTTTTCTCTATAGGAAAGGTTTTACTTGTCAATAAGAGATTTGAACGAACGGTAAGAGGTTGGGCACTGACATTTCTATCTCAAGCCAATTTCAAAACATGCCCACCAAGAATATCGGCTTTTGCCTCCCTCCTCTCTACCCCTGTTGTAATCCTCTTAGTGTGTCTTCTTCGCTCAGTGAGGATCAAGATTCTACCATGAAATGCCCTGTAGATACCCATCACCTCTGCCTGAACCTCTCTTTAAAAGCACTCCTTTCCAGGTTAAGTACTTTCAGTGCACTGATCACTTCTCTGTATATAATCAAAGCCATTATTCTGAGAGGATTTTAAAGGTTTCATAGCTAAGGGGAGGCCATTTTTCTTGGAAAGCTTCTCTTTACTTGTCAGCTTATCAAACCTTTATTTTCTTATACTACTATTTTGGTTGGACTGAAATTGTATTCAAAACCAATTTCTTCTTCTAAAAATACAATAGTGTATAAACTTGTATTTAAGATGAGTGTTTTCTCAGTTTCACTGAATCACTAGGACCAATTGATGGTGGTACAATTACTGTGAATTTTTCCATCCACATAATTATTCTATTATTTTTCAACATAAGAGAATGTAGTTTTCTTTTAAAGTCTTACTTTAGCCTAAAATCAGAGAGAGAAGCCTCCTGTGGGTTCTTTTTCTGTAATAACTCTTTAATGTCCTTCTTTCCCCCCAGGTGTGACTTGGTTTCTGTTGAATGAGTTAATTAACTAGTGAATTTAATTCCACTTAGCTAACTCTGAGCATGTAGATATTGCAGCAGAGACAAAGATGATCAAGATGCCCTTTGCCCTGAAGGAATTTCTTGTCTAGCAGCAAGGATAAGATAAGGACCTCTTGAGCTGTCTTCCTTACACAGGATCAAATCAGGTCTTGTCTCTGCGTGAGGTTTCCACAGTCTTCTTGTTTTCTACACAACAACATCCAGAATCCCTAACATTGAATTAAGGACCTTTATAATCTGTTCTCAGCATTGTCAGTGGAATCTACCATTCTTCCCTTTTTACCCCAATAGAACCTCAAATAGGCCTAACTTGGAGCACTAATTGATTTTGAGTTATGCAAAGAATGCGTTAAGAGGAACAGCATCAACTTCAATGTTGTTATAAATGGCACAGAATAGGTGCAATGGCACCAAGGCCAGACAGTCTATCTGGTTTGGGGTTGGGGTAAAGAAAAGTTTTATGAAGGAGGCACTAATCAGATAAGGCTGGAAGGATGGGCAGGGTTTCAACAAGCATTTATTGAATGCCAACTATATGCCAAACATCGTACTAGGATATGGCATGAGAGTGAAAGAGAAGGCTGAGGGTGGTGGCAAAGAAAGAGAGGTTGAATTCCAGGCAGAGGGGTAACAGAAATCAAGGAGTGCTCTCAGAAAACAGCAAGTGAACACTCTGGCTTGGCTAATATACAACGTATTAGACAACAGAAAGCCTTGTAAGATAGGTTATAGCTAAATTTTAAAAATCACTCATCAAAAATGTATTGTGCACTTGCCCTACATCGAACACTTTCTGCCAGCACTGCAGAGTACAAAGATGAACATGACATAACATCTGCATCAGGGCATTTCTCAATTTAATGGAGGAGAAAGACACAAAAGCAAATAAATGCTTACACCAAAACACAAACTCTGAGAACCATTTTCAAAGGATGCAAAGGAGTTCTGAGAATACAAAGTGATTTAAAGTTAATTCTCTCTGGAGGATCTGAGAAGACTTCATGGAAGAGGAGGAAGTTGAATAAAGCCTTAAGGCAAACAAACAGTAACGATGGGGGTATTTCCTAGGCAAAGAACAACACATGCTGTGGCACTGGTATCCCAGAAAGCATGTTATGGAACACAGTTTATTAGTTCTGACTGTAGTGTATGGTACAAAGAAGATCACGCAGAGAAGACTGAAAAGACAGACTGAGAGTGTGGGGAAGACTGAGGGAGAATCACGGGTATCAATGAAGGCCAATTGAGGATATGCAGCTCCAGTAGGCAACAGCCAGGCACACAAGTTTTTTGAGCAGGAAAATAATGTTACAGCAAAAACCTTCAAAGGAATGCCAGCAGGATCAGAACTATGGTAAATAAATCTGAACATCAGATTAATATAAAATATGAAGTTATTAATTACTGGTGTGCCATTCAACTTACATTTATTTTCTACATTTGCTCAAAAATAGAAAGGCTTAGAAATTATTATTGATTTTATTCTATTTTTACAATTATACTATTTAGATTTATATGCACCTTGAAACAACTAATATTTTCAGTATAAATTTTGACATAATAGACTGAGTTCAGGGCAATGTGTTTCTTATACTCTCTCTAGAAATAAAGGGCCCAGACCAGTTAACAGGAGGTCCTACATTCTTTGGCATTTCTATCTCTCTGGGTGCCTTTAGTTTTGATTTCATGAGATCAAAAACTAAAGCTGATATAGCTGAAATGAACAACTCTACCTAACTTCCAAGATGAGAAAAACAAAACAATTATTCCTTTTTTGTGCCTTTCATAGCTCAGGTGGAGAACAAAATTCTTTATTGGCAGAGTACCTAAGTGTAAATTAATAAATAGACCTTCTGGATTGACTTGTCATGAACTGGGTTTTCTGAAGAACTCATGTTCCTTAGATATATTGACCCAAAGAGCAAATAATCAGATCATAGAATTATATAGAGAGAAGATCCATCTTAGAGACTTTCTTAAAAACTCAAAATTATTATTAATATAGTAGTTGTAGAGAAAATATGCTAAAAATATTAATTGAATGACATAATTCAGGTAGATTTTTTTTCAAGTAGGAATGCTACATTTTGATTCAGTTTTAAATTGCTTAATTAACAATACATAAACAATACTTGCTCCATATTTGTAAAATAACTCAATGTTCAAAAACTTTCATAAACATCTCCTTGGTCACAATGTATTGACTGAAAGCCCAATATGTAAAATACCCACACTAATTACAACATACAATTCTGACCTTGTTTCTTAGGAAATGGTCCTCCAAGTCCACCTTTTCAAATTGATCAGGTATCCGTTGACTGCTGGCATTAAAATTCATTGGAAATCCCTCACAAACTTCCCAACTAAGAAAAGTAAAATATGTGATTATTTTTGCTAGGAAAAAAATGTACTTAATTAAAATACTCTTTAAGCTAGTACTATAATTTGTGTACTTTATACTCTACTAGTGAGAGAAAAATCAATGTATAGTTCATAATCTTTTGAAACAAAAATTTTTAAAGTGCTTTGGTATCTATAATTGGGAATGAGAAGGTTTTAAATTTTTACATTGCGATTATATATAACATTGGGGAATTCTATGCCTAATTAATTATTAATAGAACAAAGAAACAAAATATGATTTTTATTCTTACAGACTTATAGTTGAGGCCATTTTCACTGTTAAATTTATATGCTAAATATAATGGACTGTAAATGATAAAGAATGTTTTATACTCTTACAATAATAGTTGTGTTAAGCATGTTAGTTTGATATTTTTAAGAACATCTTAAGGGGCAACACAGAGGACATCTGGTCAAGATGGAGGCGTAGGTAAACATGGCTTGCTTACTTGTACAAACACAGCAAAAACTACAACTAAATTACAAAATATCACCCAGACTCATCAGAAAGTCGAACTGTACAGAAGTCCAACAACCAAGGAATTAAACAAGGCACATTCATTCAGATGGGTAGCAGGGGTGGAGATGTGGAGACATGCAGTGGATGGTCCCACACCCATGTGTGGTGGATAAAAATCGGGAGGGATATCTTGGGAGTGAGGGATCCCAGCCCCATTATCAGACCACCCAGCCTAGGGTTCCAGTGCCAGGAAGATAAGTCCCCATAACTTCTGGCTGTAAAAACCAGTGAGGGTTGGGGCAGCGAAAGAAACTGCAGGATTTTCAGATGTATCCTCTTAAAAGGCCCACAACAGACTTAGGACTTATGCGGACTCACTCCCTCTAGGCTGCAGCACCAGGGCAGCAACTTAAAGGGCACCAGTGGCATACAGGGAGAAACTGGTGTCTGGCATCAGGGCTAGTGCCAGGGGACAGTTTCCTCCCAGACAAAACTCCAGAGGCCAGATAGCGGTCATTGTCCCTTTTCTGAGCCCTTCCCCACACAACCCCACAGAGCAGTGGCACCATATCTGATTTCCATCAACCTAGTTCACAGGGCTTGTCCCGTCCTGGCAATTACCTAAGGCTCTACCTCATCCAACTCATGAGTGTGCTTTTCTACATTAGGCCACACTACTAAGACAAAGAGTCAAAGCAGCTCTACCTAATACATAGAAACAAATACAGGTGGGCTACCAAAATGAGGAAACAAAGAAATATGGCCCAAAAGAAAAAACTCAACAAAACTCCAGAAAAAGAACTAAACAAAATAGAGATAAGCAATCTATCTGAGGCAGAGTTCAAAACACTTATTAGGATGTTCACGGAACTCATTTGGTACTTAAAAAGCATAAAAAAGATCCAGGCAGAAATAAAGGTTACATTAAGTGAAATAAAGAAAATGTACAGTGAATCAACAGGGGAGTGGATGAAGCTGAGAATCAAGTCAATGATTTGGAACACAAGGAAGAAAAAACATGCAATCAGAACAGCAAGAAGAAAAAAGAATCCACCCCCCGCCAAAAAAATGAAGATAGAATAGGGAGCCCCCAGGACAACTTCCAACATATAAACATTCGAATCATATTGGTACCAGAAGGAGAAGAGAAAGAGCATGAAATTGAAAACTTATTTGAAAAAATAACGAAAGAAAACTTTCCTAGTTTGGTGAAATAAATAGACATAGAAGTCCAGGAAGCACAGAGAGTCCCAAATAAGATGGAGGCACATAGGCCCACACCAACACATCATAATTAAATGCCAAAGGTTAAAGATACAGAGAGAATCTTACAAGCAGCAAGAGGAAAGCAGTTTCCATACAAAGGAGTTTCCATAAGATTGTCAGCTGATTTCTCAAAAGAAACTTTGCAGTCTAGAAGGGAATGGCAAGAAGTATTCAAAGTGATGAAAAGCAAGGACCTACAACCTAGATTATGCTATCCAGCAAAGCTATCATTTAGAATTGAAGGGCAGATAAAGTGCTAACCAGACCAGGTAAAGCTAAAGGAGTTCATCATCACCAAGCCATTATTACATGAAACATGAAAGGGACTTAATTAAGAAAAATAAGATCAAAGCTCTGAACACTAAAATGGTAATAAATTCACAATTATCAACAACTGAATCTAAAAAACAAACTAAGCAAACAAGCAGAACAGAAACAAAATCATAGATATGGAGCTCCTTTGCATGGTTACCAGTTGGGAGTGGGAAGGAAGAGAATGGGGGAAAAGGTGCAGGGATTAAGAAGTACAAATTGGTAGGTACAGAATAGGCAGGGGGATGTTAAGAACAGTATAGGAAATGGAGTAGCTAAAGAACTTATATGCATGACCCATGGACATGAACTAAGGCAGGGGGTTGCCAGAGGGAATGGAGAGTACTAGGAGGAGGGGGTAAAGGGGGAAAAGTTGAGACAACTGTAATAGCATAATCAATAATGTGTGTGTGTACATGCGTGCATGTGTGTGTGTGTAAAGGCAACACAGCCTAGTGGGTACATGCTACAACATGTAGGTGTTGTGTATCATTCTTAATTCAGCCACATTGCTTATTTTAAAAGTGAGCCAGTCCCTATCCTGAAGAAAATCACTTAGCTCCACATAAATATGTTAAGACATAGCATAAAGCATGCTGCTATTCAACAAAAAACAGTTCTGGGGATGGTAATAGTATTTTTTTAATACTCTGAGAAATATAAATAAGAGTATGATTATTAAGATTTCAAATAATCTCTTCGGAGTGTACAAAGAAAATTCAAATGGAGTCCAATAGTTAGTAAATTGTCTTCAAATTAGTTTGTGTTCAATAAAGGCAGTTTCACATTGTTATCGTTAAGGAGCTAACTTTAGTTTGGATCCACTCAGTGAAACAATATTTATAGTACCTAGGAAGTAAAATTAAGAAAGAATACATGAATTTAAAATTAAATTCCTAGCTAAAAAGGGAAGGGAAAGGGTTTAGGCAAATATAACAGCTTGGGGAGAGATTATTGTACATGAAATAAATCTCATAAATGGAAGTGCCTATAAAAAAAATGCTGATGAGTTATTTTCTATCTATAAAGGAAAAGAGAAGAGGACAAAAACAGATTCAAATGTTGCCTGAAATGTGACAGACAGTCATTGGGTGGTAGAGCTGTTGTTTAAACAACTACCAGGAATACCAACAGTTTGTCTCTAGGCATGTTTAGCAGTAGATTGACAATAGACTGAGCAACCTCATCAGACCGCTTTTGGTTTTCAGGACCTGCTCTCTACTTCAGTCTTTTCACCTATACCTTAAGGAAAGTTGCAATGTGTTAAATTTAAAAATATTAAAGCTAGATAGGACTTTACAGATAGATCACATAATCCAACATAACTTTTTTTTCATTTAATTCAAACAAAATGAGATATTTAGCTCCGCAGTAACATTAGTCATATTTCAAGTCCTCAACAGTCACAAAGTATGTTTGCATCATCACAGAGAGTTCTGTTAGACAGGATAGTGGTTGAACCCTTGGTTCTTAGGAAGGAAAGTCTGGGTTAAAATCCTGGCTCTGCCATGTATCAGTTGTGTGACTGGGCAAATTCCTTTGCCTCTCTGTGCCGCAGTTCCTGTCTCTATAAAATGGAGTAATAATAGAATAACAGGTAATGATGTGATTACAAAAATTGTTTTGAGGATTAAATAGGTTCTTACCCAATTCATTTAGAACTGTGCTTGGACTATGGTCACCATTCAGTAAATGGCTGAGTTTTATTATTTTCAGATAACAAACTGACACCCTTCTCTTCATGGACAGTCATGAACAGATATGGGGCAAGACGCCCAGACCCTCCAACTTTTGCGCTTCTTCTCACCAAACCTCCAGCATATTGCTTTTATTTTTCATCATCAAATGAGGTTCTTAAATGTGATCACTCATATGAGTAAACACATGATTTAATATTTTAATGATTACATTCAAAACTTTATAAACATCTACTAAAACCAGTTTTTACGTTTCAAATAAAATTACCACCTCTGCAAAGCAGAATCTTTGGTCATTGCCCCATGTGATTTTTAAAACTCAAGGAAAGTTAATAATAAGAATTTTAGGCACTAGCTCATTATATCAAAAAGTAAGTCAATAAAATGAATTATTGCTTATGTTAGATGATTCAAAGAACATCTTGTAGTGTTTCAATCTCTCACTCTGCAAAATCTGAATTTAGGTGGTTCAGATTACTTTAACTAAGCACACGTTAATTTACTTATCACATCCAGGTAGCAGAACAGTATTAGGATCCAAGAAGGTTTTATATGCAATCGTAACGCCACCTCTGGCAAATGCAGTCACCTGGTCAAAGGTCAAACTCAAAACAGGGTTCAGTGGAGACCTGAAAAATGAAAAAAAAAAATCAAAGCTATTTTCAAAATTATGCAAACACTCAATTTTGAGCACAAATAACTATTTTTTTTAAATCAGGGTTTAATAAAATCCAAACACCTAAAATACACATTTCATTTTATTTTGCTGATTTAGAATATGCCAAGGATAGTTGCAACACATGATATATTTTAAAATAATTTCAATAATAGAATGCAAAGTATTTCATGGAGAATAACAACCAATTTTTCACATAATATTCATTTTTTAATAACTACATCATGTGTAACTAATAATGTTCATCAATGTATAGCTACAATGCAATGACCAATAATAATCTTTGGATCTGATAATTAAATGAATCTTTAATATTTGACTACAAACAACCATTTTTTGTGGGTTCACTAAATATTATGTTACCTTTTTTTATATTATATATTGTTAGGTACATTGTTTTGGATTAATTTAATTATTTTAGAATTAAAATCAAATGGAAAACATTTTAAATAAGACTGGCCACTATGTCAAATATGAGCTATTTTTTTCTAAACTGGTGACAAAGACTTGCTATTTAACTTTATAATATATGACTTAACCATATCCCCAGTGTAGTATTATCAATAATATTTAAACTGAATCTAAACATGAGAAAACACTCAGCCAAATCCAGAATATGGGACATTCTACAAGAAAAGTGCTGAATTCTTCAAAAAAAAAAATCAGTGTCATGGGAAAAAAAAAATAAAAGCTTGGGGAATATTCTAGATTAAAGAGAACTAAAGAAAATAAATGCAACACACGAAGCTTATCTGGATACCAGATTACAAAAAGCTCTAAAGAACATTTTGGGTAGTTTGAATATAGCTTGTATATTAGATGATATAACATAATTGTTGACTGTGTTAGATATTATAATGTGGTGATAGAAGAATACCCTATTCTTCAGTTATGTGACCTGAAGCATTTAGGAGTAAAACTTTAATGGTTATCTGAAATTAATTTCTACACATTTAAAAGAGAGAGAAGGAAGATAAAAAGAGAGGTAAAATGAATGTGTCAAACTCTTTAAATTGTTGAACCTAGATGAAGGAAATATAGCTAATTTTACTATTCTTTCAAGTTTTCTGCAGACTGCATATTTTTCAAAATAAAAATTGAGAGAAAAATACTTAAAGGACTCAAAAATAGAAATGGATATTGGCAATATCATCTTTTGTAAATGAATGACCTGCCCCCTCCCATGTCAGCATATATTAGACAAGGTAGAATTCCTGAAAATGAATATCACTTACTTAGTACATATTGCACATTCTTTTAATATATTTTAAACTGGATGGAAATAACTTTTTAGACATAAATTTTAGAAATTCCAATAGTAGCAAGTGCTTTAATAGTTTCCTAGTGCTTCATATTCGATTCAAAATCAGAAAAGGAATACGCTATCCTATTAAAATGACAATAATGTACAAACAAATATACACACACTCCGTATTCCTACAGCTACAATTCTCAGCTGACTTTGGAGTATTTCAGATACTTAGCCTCTTATTAGTTATTCCACAATTATGACCTTATTAACCAAAAATGACTGTTTTATCTTATTAAAATACAGTATTATAGCAAACATTATTAAAAACATCAAAATTAGTCATTGATTTCACTTTAATAGTGATATTTAAGAAGGAATTATTAGACACACATTTTGTTCAAGCTTTTTCTTTTACTAAAATTCATTGCTATTTTCATTATGCAAAAACAATTCTCAGTGCAAATAAATTATATTTTGAAATCTGCCTTTGGGGGGAAAATTCCATTCTTTACAAATATTTTTAATTCTATAAATCACACATCATAAGAAATTATTAAACATTTTAATATTACTCTACTGAGACAGATAAAATAGAATTTTGTGGTATGTTACCCACAACTAATCTTACCAACTTTTTTCAAAAAATCTTCATGGATTTCTGAGTAGACTTATTTCCATATTTGAAATTCTGACTATTAGAATATATAGCAAATCCAATCAGCTCCTAGTTCTGTCTAGGCTATATTCATTACAGTTATGATCAATTAGACTCTAAAAGCAAAATTATTTCCCCCATGTCCTGTATTCTGTTCCACAGATAAAAAAAGAGCTAAAAAATTAGGAGTAGGCAAAAAGTGTGATTAGCTTCCCGACAAGCAGTTTCGGAGTTCATCTGGATGTATTCTGTCAAAATATGCATACATTTCTGAGATATTTCACACAGCCTAGCTCATCAGTGCCTGTAGACTGTGGCCTTTTTCTTTTCTCTGAAACCAAAATAATTTTATGCAGAAATTTACCAATCTACAAAAATTTACACAATGCTCAGCAATAACCAGTAATTATTGTGGGATAGAATAAGGCGCTTCTGAGGAATAAAACTTTGATCGGATAGTGCTTACAAGCTTTACCAATTTATCTTTAGCTGTCCTGTCATTGGCACTTAAAAGGTTAAGACTTTATTTGTGAAAACATAGAGAGATAGTGGGGAATCATGTTGTCTACAGCTTCATAAATCTTGCTTAAAATCCTTTTCAATTACCATCCATTTCTTCTTTAAAAAGGGACCAAAAATAGAGGAGTGGGAGCAGGTCAGGGCAGTGTGCGACAATGACAATGTGACGGGCTTGGGCCCCCCGCGGCGTTTCCATCTGCTATCATTAAGGTGACTACTCAGACATGAACAAATCCCACTCGCTGTGCTGACAGGCAGACTTCAAGAACTATGACAAGGCATTAAGACAGAAAAGTCAGAGAGAGAGGGAGAGAGAGAGAGAGAGATGTCATATTCCACAAACAATTCTGCCTCACACACACACAAAATGCCCTGACATTTTATTGGAATTCAAAATCTTAAATAATTTTCATAAACGGTGCTACGTGGCTTCTCAGCTCTCCCCAGGAATGACCGAGGACAGACAGAGAATAAACACCTCGCTCCTACCTGTATCCTTTACCGTAAGAGACCCAAATTTTTTGCTCATTCTTCAACAAAAGTGGATTCTTAATTTCTTGACCTTGCTCATCGAAAAGCTGGATTGAAGAAAAATTGAGGCCTGGTGGGTTGATGGAAGATCCTTGAAGCCTTTGATGAATCTTGAGAAGTAACTGGTGGTGGGTGGAAATAATGAAGAAGAAGAAATAACATAAAATGTGAACACCTGTAATAAACTGTTTCTACACGGAAACAAATGAAGTCCAAACAAACGATAATTAAATTCACATCCCATGTTAAAAGAACTGCGAGATGATGGCAATGTTTAGCGCAGGGTAAAGTAAGGAAATGAGCATGGGCTTTTAACCAGCAGGGGGTGCCAAAGGCTTGTGATTGAGCTCTGACCCTTTGGCACCGGGCCTGAAAGCAGATGTGAGTCTTGCAGGAAGAGCGTTTAGCTTCTACACATGGTAACGGTCCTCTTTGAGAAGGGTTATGCTTTTCTCATCAGAGCTGCACATTTTCTTAGAGTCCTTCCAGAGCATGTTCAAATTTTACAATCGGCAATGTCCCCATCCCCAACTAACCTAATTCACCACTTACAGGACTTCTAGAATAAGTAAGACTTTTGGTCTAGGTCGGTTCACTTAGAAGAACTCCTCCTGAATGTATTTAAATTAAGGGCCCCGCAAAAGCTTGTGAGCTGCTTCAATAAGGGAGGTTTTCAAGTTGTGAAGAAGACATAATTGAAGTGGGAAGTAGGAAATGCTGTCATTTAGCATTTTAAATACCAGCATTGTCAGTGTTTGTTTCTATCTTACCTTCAGGGTCTCTGAATTATCAAGATAATTTCTAATTTACGGCATATTTCAAATGAAAGGAAATCCAAGCGAACTGTGCTGCATGTGGAATTTTAAAAGACTTTTTCATTATTTTCAGTCATGTTTGTTTGGGCGTGTAGGCCTCGCCTCCTTCCAGCTCTGCGCCCCACACTGCCCATCACTCTGTCCCCCCAGCCTTCTGTCACAGGCGTCTTGTTCTTCTCTGCCTTGTCAGTTCTTGTGTCTTCCGATTTCTTGTTACTCTGTAATCTCAGCAGGGATACGGATATAGCTGTGGCCATTCCTTGCCTTGCTGCTGTTCAGGTGCCTCTTTTTTTGCCCCTTCTAATAATTTCCAATTAGGTATGTTGAGAAGTGCTAAATGCCAAGGCTCAGAGGAAAGAAGAGAAAGTTGTAATCTTTGTCATTCATGCCAGTTTCCTTCCCTATTGGCTCTAAACTTTTGACCAAGTAAAACATTGTCTTTGACCAGCAACTATATTTGTAGGACACCTAAGAATTAGGCTTTGTCCTAATTAGAGATAAAGAATCGTATCTCCCAACTTTACCAGCTCTACATTGTTTCCAAAAGCTCTACATTGACCAGATTTGTAGCCTTGAGCATCAAAAAGGCTGAAAATGGTAAAGACAAGCTCTTTGAATAAAAAATAATAACTACTATTTTCTTTAGGAATACAATAGACAAGGGTGTTAAAATAGTAAAAACCTGCATTTTTTTATCGAAACCACAAACATGTTTAGAAAATCAGTATATTGTAGTTACAAAATCCTACATTTGTTTCTGTGTGGTCTCACCTGTTGAGCTTATGTTTTTGTTGCTTTGCTATTATTTTGGAAAAACAGGTAATGCTGATCATTTTTAAAATCATGGTAATTTTGCTTTAGAGGCATCACCGTTTTTGTAAAAGGGAAAGATATACAAAAAGATTGAAGACCTAATCCAGGAGAGAAATGTGTACCTAAAGGATAGGGGTGTGTGGCAGGGAAGGGGTGTGAACACCTGACCACTTCATCAAATTCACCTTTACAGGAGTCGACTCGCAGCCTCTACCTTTTGAACTTGGTAGCAGACTGCATTTCAGGTGTTCGAAGATGAGCATTCGACAGCCTCCAGGACATAAGGGCCTTGGAGCCTTTCATCTCTACGTCATTGATTAGGGCTGGGATAGGGTGACCAAAAATCAGGCTAATCCTCACCCGTTTATCTTTAACGCTACCATCACCAGGACTGTATTGGATAAGAATTTGTTCAGGGACCTGAGAAGGGTAGGAACATTTTAGACTAGTGATTGAGACGAGCGTGCACAAAGGGAACAGACATCCTTGGGTATCACCAGGGATATCCCAAACAAAGAGCTTCATCATGCTCCTAATTCAAGTCCCCCGCCTCCCAATTAACTTGCATATAGAAGCAAAGGACAGTCCATTTCAGTATGCCATAAGCCAACACAAAAACTTTCTACAGAGTAACATCTTCCTGTATAAAATAATAGAAATGCCATCTTCAATTTTAATATCAACCAAACAGTAAAATATCCTAATGTAAAAATGAGAGGAGATGAGTAGATAATTCTAGGAAGACTGTTGTATCATAGTGTTTCACATAGTCAGGGATATGATGGTAAAAAGAAACCAGGTAAGGCTCTTGATGCTTCTTGCTCTTATGAATCAAGGTAGCATTTCCCATCTCTTCTAGACCCAACTAATGATCAGACAAAAGTCTCCTAATTCTAGGCAACTTTTGTGACTGACTATAAAGGCCAGGTAATAGATACTACCAGTAAGAGATAAACCTGAGGGCGCTGTACTAAAGGGGGGGAAGAGAGGAGCAAGTTTCTAAACAAAAGCCAAGCAACAGAGCCCAAAACACTGGTGTGCGCTGGGGCGCATAACCCCAATTTGTAAACAACAGGGGTATTCAACGTCTTTTTATGCAAGACAAAGACCCAAAATAAAGACCCTGACCATGTTGATTCTGCCTAGGAAACATCCCAATTGTCTGGAAAATAGGCAAAGGTAAGCATGTCTAAGAAAAACCATCTCGACTTGCTCACAATGAGCACAGGAGAAGCTGCATGTTAGTTGCTCAGGGCCTAGGGCCTAGACCCAGAAGATACCCTCCATCGAATATCATGTCACTTCTTCTCAAAATATAAACAAGAGGGCAACCCTAGAGTCCACCGCAGACAGATTTCCAAATACAAGCAAAACGAAGGTTAAAATGCTGCTAAGTAAGAGGTCTGGAGTTAATACTAAACTAAAATTGAGAGCCTAAGGAATTCAGAAGTCAAAGTGGAAACTATTAATCTTAACAGATCAGCAAATGATTGATCTTTTCCAAATAACCTTTGAAGATGCACTGGATTGGCCAAAAAGTTCGTTTGTCTTTTTTTTGTATGATTGCAGGAGTAGCACTTAGTTGCCTTTAACTTCATTTGAAACAATTTTATTACATAGTGTTATGACAGCTGTCACATCAGTGTGCATTAAAAAAAAAAATCAAAATCAGTGAATTTTTGTGTAGCCATATTAATATTGAAGATGGAAGGAAATAAGCAACATTTTCAGCATAATATGCTTTATTATTTCAAGAAAGATAAAAATACAACTGAAATGCAAAAAGAGATTTGTGCAGTTATGGAGAAGGTCCTATGACTGATCGAAAGTATCAAAAATGTCAAAAGTGGTTTGTGAAGTTTTGTGCTGGAGATTTCTCTCTGCAGGATGCTCCACAGTCGGGTAGACCAATTGAAGTTGATAGCAATCAAATCCAGACATTAATTGAGAACAACAATCAACATTATACCATGCAGGAGATAGCTGACAGATTCAAAATATCCAAATCAGTAAAGTTATTGGTGAAAATGAAAAATGTTTCTTTTATTTTATGGAAAAAAAAAAACCCTAAATGAACTTTTTGGCCAACGCAATAATTATCTAAATTAATTACAAGTAACTTGGATGACATTTAAGAGTTATAAATAAATGGTCAATAAACTCACTTTTTCCATCATATTGCCAGTTTGGTTTGGGCTATTAGACCCCAGATCTTTTTTGCTGATAAAAATAGAGAGCTCTCCAGTGTCTTTACCACTTTCAAATATCTGAAAAATAAGTGCATTCAAAATTAAAATAAATATATGCATACACATATGTACACATATTCATACATACATAAATACACTTCTAAACACAAACCATCTTGGCTTTGAAAGTCATGCATACTCGAACTGTGCAAAACAAGGGCCTCCTGTATGAACACATGAAAGTAACTGGGGCAGTGAAAATTCACAGGGCTAGAATAGTATAAATAAAGTCCTTTGTTTCTCATTCTGGTTTCACTGTCTTAAAACTGACTAGCACTCTCTACTATTAAAAATAGAAGGACATTACAGGAGGAATCACCAACTACACTGGATGCTTAAGTGTGGCAAGCGTCAGAGAAAGGTCGGCTAGAGACCAGCTAACTAGCTCATTTCATTCTTTTTGAAAAACATGAAGACACAAAATATGTGAGGAATGCTTGGTTTATATTTAAAATATACCGGTGTTCAGCTTATCTTTTGACTCACAGAAAGGAAATTCAACGTGACAGATTTATTGCATAACTGTATGATAAAAGCCATCCATTTTAAGTGCACGTATGCAACATGCTGTTGAGAACAGAGATAAAACTCATAACCCTGAGTCACTAAAGAGAAAGTGCTAGCAAACATTGTGGTTGAAAGTATCCAAATAAGCCAGTGTCGAAGGAGGGCTCCCCTGGAGTGAACACCACCCTCTGACCCTGTTGATGACGCAGGTGGGTGTGCCATTCACCAGGCAAGAAAGGAAGCAGGCCAAGAGAGGCCTGATGAATAATTTAAATCCTTGCTTTCTATTTTGCTATTTTTCTCCAAAGTTCTTTTCTTCCTTTTCTGATTCACCTATCACACCAAGGTAGCCATTTTCTTTATTTCTGGCACTATTCCAGAGAAGATAATTTGGGACAATACCTTATTATAAAGAAAGAAAGCTATCTATAGATTTACTTTTGAGATAGTTCGAGAGTTAATTAGTCCTAACTTGGTTTGGGAAATACTGTGCTTCAATGGCACTTCCTCGGGCTGTAGCCATAAAAAAATAAAAAATAAAAAAAATCAGAATTAAAAAAAAAAGGAGGGGAGGGGAAATAAAAAGGAATAATAGTATTTAAGAACTGTGGGTTTTTCTCTTTGGAGCTTTTTATTGAACTGATAGTCCACTGGAGGTGGTACAGCTGTCTGCCTTGGCATGGCGATATTCCACACCCTATAGTATCATTTGCTACCAGGGATTGTTTTAAACCTCTTTTCTGAGTGAAGATACAATCCTCAGTAAGGACTCTCTCTACTTTTGCAAGGAACTTCATAAACCCAGCTGTGGCCTGCAAACCTATGGGAAATAAAGTAGGAGAATCTTACTGTCCCAACAATATCTTCAGGGCCCTAAACTGGAAGAAAACTCTTAAGCAGAGACATTTAGCAATGATGGTCACAATTGTAGGCCACATGCATTCTGCAAGGTTAGTGTTGACAAAAACCCAGTTTGAGGAACGTACTGATGTTCCTTTGTCAAGACCTGCTAGACGTGAAGTCAGAGTGCAGCAAATTATATTCTAGAAAATGAGAGTGTGATTGCACACCGCCAAACTGAGAGAGCAAATGGGACTTGGTCAACACCTAACAGCATCGCTAGGTCACTGCTTTCTTCACTACTGCTCGTTAGTCTTCCTTTCTATGTCTAGAAAAGTGTTCCCAAAAGATAAAGAGGTGTTTTAATGCTTAAGTAGAACTGTAGGTGTTTAAATGGAAGCAGGCTGCCCTCCACCACTCAGCTGTATAAGGTTTGTTGGGTTTTTTTTTCTGTATTTCTACAAAAATAAAAATTCCCCAAGCTGGAATTCTATGAGATTCAGCTTTTCTTAAAGCCCAGCTCTGGGTTTTTAATATCTATATTACTATGCCCATTTTATTAAAATCCAGGTATCATATTTATTTTCTCTTCCTTTGCATGAGATATATTTTTGTTTCTATTGTCCAATGTCTAAACAAAGATAGGTCTCTAAACAGAGTTTCTGTGATTGACTAGATGTAGGAAAGTAAAAATAAAAATGCGCTACCCCTTTATTTTCCTGCCGCCTGATTCTTGCCTTGGGAAACACTGACTGCTGTATTGGCTTCCCAGTGGCTCTCCGCATGGCCTCACCTCCCTGCAGGTCTAATATTGAAGTCTCACCCTTGGAGCGGGATGATGCAAAAAGCCGGCCGAGGCTAGTCTTGGGTCCCCAGGAGTAAGGTAATAGCACCTAAACAATTTTTTTAAATGATCCAGATCCTCTTGAACAACATGGTAGCTAATGACTACTGATGAAAAGTACCTGCAAATAGTAATTTACTTCTATGCCTTAAGTACACAAAAGACAGAGTTTTATGGGGGACTGTTTGCCATAAACTATAGTCTTTTTACTTTCATTCGTGTCAATATTGATATTTCTTGAACAAGATTAAATTGGATAAACATCAATGTTTCATTTCAATGTTGTTAAATGATTCATCTCTTTATCAAGTATGACACCAGTGAACTAAGATTCCCACTCTTGAGGAATAGAACAAGCAAGTAAATCGTGAGGCACCGTCAGAGCACATACAGGTCTTGTGAGGCCTGAAGTTTGTACAACTCAGTGGGCCTTCTTCAACAAAAAGAATGTAGAAATATGAATGGAAAACTAGACACAAAATAGTCATTTTAAATGAGTAAAGATATCACAACAGTTTACACATATTAAAAAGCTTACACATAATAAAAACATTACAAAATTCAGAAAAAGTCACAAAATATTTTTGTCCATTAGCTATCCAATGTACATATTTTAGCTGAATTGTCTTTGATCACCTCTCTATATGGCAATTTTGTAATACTGTCTACAAGGAGAGAAAGAATAGAGAGATAATTCCATTTTTCCTTTTGCATGGTTAATCAAAAAGGTGTTTATTATTGATTAGAAAAATTTCTCTCAACTTCATGACTTTATTGGTCATTGTATTAAAAATTCTTAGGATTGATGTCAAGTTCGGAGACATCTTAATCAGGTTTCTTTGAAATACTAGCTGTAAAATGTGGAAGAATTTCCTACAAGTTAGTTGCCCTTGGTAATTTTACACCATGCTTTTCCTCCAGCACCCATATACTTTTGGTGTCAGGCGCTCTAGGCCACAGTCAGAAAGCAAACCCCCGGCTGGCAGGCGGGAGCCATCTTCCTGGAAGCTCTGCCCCCACCAGAATGTCTGGCACTACCTGAGTTTTCCAGGGGTGTGCCTGCAGACCACTAATTACATTCTACTAGGCTCAAACTAAATGTATCCCCAACTCAAAGGCCCTTTTGCCAGGCTTCGAAAATGCCGGTGGCCAGTTCAGCACACTGGCTGCGAGGGAAAGCTTGACAGAGAGGTAGATGGAGGGGAAAGAGAAATGGTCCCAACCAATTATAATAAAAATATATCATGTTTGCAAATTTTACAGAAATACGTGTACATAGTGCTGGGGCTTCTCCCAGGGTTGTGGAAGGGTCCTATGCAAGAAACGGGCCCTCAAGCTTAAGTTTCATTAGCTTCACGGCAAGTGCTATGAAAAGACAAAATACAGAGCAGGGCAAGGGACACAGGGCCTGGGATCAGGGAGTGAGACCAGCATGGTGGTCACCATATGCAGCAGGCGATCAGCATAAGCTTCAGGGAAGATCTGAGCGAAGGCTTAACGGTGAAAGGTGAGCTGGGCAGAGAGCTGGTGGAAGCGCACTGCAGGCAGAAGGAGCTGCTGGAGCAAAGAAATGAAGACGGGGCGTGCCCAGTACATCCCAGGAATCTCAGGGAGACTAGTGCGACAGGGGCAGCACGGTGGAGAGGGCGGAGAGTGTGAGATCGGGGGGTTCAGGGGTTGGCAGCAAAGTGAGGAATCTTTGGAGGATTTGGAGCAGAGCAGTAACAGAATCTCACATTTTTTAAGGAGTCGTTGTGGCTGCTGGGTGGAGAGTACACTAGAGGGAGTAAAGGTATAGGAAGGGTGGATGGTAGACATGCAAGCCAAGGTATTGTAAGTATATATTATGTGGGCCAATGGGCACGGTGAGTCACGGTCCATTTCTATTGTTCATTCCAGAGTCATATTACTTATTTATTAGCAGGATTGGGAAATCAAACCTGTAGCTAGCCTAACATTTCTGAAACAAGAAGTCTGTGTCTATGGGTATAAATAAATCAAACTAAGTAACTGTTCGTACGCAGTACTCGTGAAGGCATAAAAATGTCAATAAAACACCAAAAGAATTTATTTTACAGAGACAGTGACCAAAATTTAACTCATATCGGGAAAGAGGACCTAAAAGGGGGGGTTGGAGCTAAAGTGGCTCATTGACAAGTTTGCCTGGCATCACTACGACATCCGTTTAAGGACTTGCATAAGACCTGGTTCAGTGCCATTATCCAGCCTTTAATGTTATAAGTCTGGTTAAGAGCTGGCCGTTGGGGGACGGCGGGTTCCCAAACTCTCCATCACTGCTGAGAGCAGACCACCCTGGAAGCTCCCTGTGCGTGAGTGGAAGGCCAAACACCTATGCTTCAAAATGCCTCAGGACGCGGTGCTGTCAAGAGGCAATAATAGGAAAATGACAGTACAGTGTGTTGCCAAAAGTTGGGAGGCTGAACAGTAACAGAATTTACTGCTAGAGGTCTGATGAAAAAGGGGAATATAAAATAGCTACAGAAACTAGTTGGCATATTCCAGGTGAGTATAATTAAGAATGCGGAAATAAGGTTAACTTACACTTCTTCTTGGATTCGGGTCCCCAGGAAACAGATCCCGAGGCCCAGATGTACTTGCCAAAGCTTATGGGGAAACGTTCTCAGGAACGACACTGGTGAGGGAGCGAGGGAAGCTGGACTGGGCCGGAGGAGGTGAACTGCCATACACATGCAACAGAGGCCTCTAGTGGGAGCTCCCTTCCCACTATATACTGTGGGACGGCCCTTCAGAGTACTTCCCAGTTGAGGCCAGGGAGCCATGCACTTGCACACCAACCAAAGGCTGG